GGGGGGGGGGGGGAATGAACTCCTCAGATAGAGCAATACTATAGTTCAATGCACAATAATCACAAGTGAAGTTGATAGGACAATGCACAATCCAGACAGAGGGTCAAGATCAGTCGTGGAAAAAGTGGAAAACCGGGCTTACAAGGCCAGTTCAAATCCCAGGCCATGAATGGGTCATCTCGGTCTCGACAAGCAGACGTGCAAAGTCATTTTACATGCCTAATCACGAGTGAAATAATCATGACATGATAGTATTTAGTTACAAATATCGCAAAAATACTGCTCTTCAGATTATTCAAAGAAGCTCTAAGCTTGGACCCAATTCATGAGAAGGACCACCCTACGTATATACAGATGCAAGATTTTTTCAATGATAAGGATTCCATTAATCTAGCAAGAACAAGGCATATATAAATTCTCAATGCTTCTTTTTTCCATGCACAGATTCCTCTACATGCTATGCTTATTGTCAGTTATACCCTTGTAAATTGAAGAATTCTCAATGAGCCTATATCTTGGGAAGTAGTTTTATTGATTCTAGAAATGATCCATACATGTAAATCAATGAAGGTAACTTGTATAAAGTGTTGGGAATCTTGACTTATTTGCACAATCATTATCAAGGTTCACTTTGAGAAATATCGAAATAGGCCCAGATTCTCAACATTCAATGTTCACAACCTATTTCCATCTTTTCATATTTTCTATGAATCAAGCGTGAAAAGAGTAGCCAGTTTTATTGTAAAAATCTTCATATCTAAGTAGTAATTACAATGTTTTGAGTTCAAATGTAAGTCTTTTCCTCGATGTAACAAAAGATTTTAAATTTTTTCTTAAATCATATCAAATCAAACAGACCAACATAACAAACACACCATTAAAGTGTTTAATCTTAGTTATTCATTGAGGAGGCTTCTTGATGAAAAATTATCATTTTGGGAGGTAGTTTTGGGATTCTAGAAAAGATCAATAGATGTAAATCAGCTTGTGTAATGGTGGAAATCACTCACATCTAGCATTCTCTTTTAGAAAAATGAAGAAGAACTGAGAACGGGGAAACTGAAAGGGTTCATGAGTCATGATCCCTTTCATGAACCCTTTCGGTGTCATCACTGTATGCATCAAGCACGAAAAAGAGTATTGCAACTTCATCTCTAACAGTTATTTAATAGCAATGTTTTGAGTCAAAATATGTCTTTTCCTAATTGTTTGTAATATTCTGAGTGGGAAATATACAGATCTTCATGTTATCTTGCAAGATTTTCGACCGACATTGGGTCAGGACCATATATAGGTTGGGGCTACTCTATTCCACTTGCTGCAATAATCTCATTTGGCATTTTCAACTTCAGCCTTTGAACAATGTTGCTTCCTAAACTTAGCTTTTTACTATGCAGATATTTAAGTTGGACCAATAAAATGTGCTCTCTTTTGGACATTCAAATATTCTTGGACGGATTAAGCCTTAATCCTGATTATGGGATCAATGTTAGGCAAAACAAAATCAGAAAATAAACACACACAAGAATCTATAAACTAATAGTAGTTCATCCTCAATCTTAGAGCTATTCCAGTCAATATGGTACTTTTTAAATATAAAGAAGATCTCAGTCTTTGTTAGAGGGGAAAAAAATTAAAAAAATAAAAGCTCCCCCTAATTCTTGAATTAACTTAACCACGTCATGTTACCGTAAAGGTTCTACTTCTAGAGAAGGACACTGAAAAGGCTAGCGATATAGAGCACAACACGCTTCCTCTCCCAAATCGTTTATAGTGTAGAAGCACTAGGGCAAACACACACATGAATAAAATATTCAATATATTGATAAACCTAAAATGCACCTAAACTCATCCAATCCTAATATTTAGTCGAAAGAATAAGTTTATAGTATGATTAGACTCCATGATGTCCAACACCAATGTATCATAGACATGAGCAACCTCGGGCCTCCAAAAAAAATAAGACCCTTTTTTCTGAAGGTAGGTCAAAATATTTTATAATATAATTTTGGATGAAGTCACTGAGAAGCCCGTAAAATAAATGATCGGCGCAACCTTAGAAATCATGAATCATACATGCAATTATTAGTAATGAAACTTTGAATGTTTTTATTTATTATAAAAATTTATTTTTCTTCATTGCAAGTAATTTTTTTTCAAAGAATACCCATATAAAATTTGGCTTAAGACTCCAAAAATCTCAGGATCGACGACCCTGATCATAGATAATAATATTGTATATATTATTTATATTTTTCCTTTTATTTATCGAAACACTTTATCTTTCATGATCTCTACAGAAGATTATATGCCAAGCATCACATGTAGGAAAAAATTAATCAACCAAACTAGACAAATGTAATTTCATACTGGATCCCAGCCCACAAATTTAAAAAAAAAAATAATTATAATAAGATTCTACAATTGCATTTCAGTTGCCCATGACCGATTCTTTAAAATTGTTTTAGCAAGATTCAGGGTTGATCATTTGAAGACAGCAATTTAAACAGAATTTGATAGGGTAAATACAATTCTTGATAGGAATAGAATAGATATTTTCTATACTAGGAAGGTAATAGGCTTGATATTAGGGACTTATGGGTGTCAAATGGCTCGGCCGTGTTTGGGAGAGGTCCGATGGTCATACAAGGTCCGGGGACTGAGGCAGGCCAGGCTAAGTCCAGTCTGCCAGATATTTTCTTTGCTCTGGACCCATTGTCCATGCCCGTTCCATCTTAAGAAGGTCTCTCTTCTTGATTACCTTTACATGTTGCAATTATACGAGGATAAACCAACCATGTGAACAACTATGGATAAGCTGACTTTACATTCAAAACAAGGCAATCCACAACTTAAAATATGATTGATTTTGTGTTAATGATCATAGAATATACTTGTCATCTTACTGGTGTACATAAACGCAGTCAAGAAAAGGCAAAAATGTCACTTTTAGGTATGCCTAACATCTTCTAATGTTTATATCAATGAAAAAACATCATATGATTTTGACACTAAACTGTAAGAGAAAGTAAAATTTATGCAAAAAATGGAAATATAAACAACCTTATCATGAAGATGGAGATTCTTCAAAGTTGTAATATTTTTCTTTTGTCCTGCTTCGGCTGTGATTCTTGATGAGACAAATCACTAAAATTCTTCAATTTTTGCGAGTTTATAGGCCAACTGGCATGACCCCACCCCCTTAACTCCTACAGCCTATAAAAGCTCAAGCAGTTGCCACCACTTCTACGCATATCAGCTCTTCAGTTTCTCATCACTCTTCACTTGGGTGTCTTCTCAGTTAAGTCGAAGACGAATAATCCATCCTAGAATTATTTGTTCCCACATTTATACGTTCTTCCATTTTTATCCCATTTTCTAGAGTAAGCATTCAACAGTAGTGCTCCATCCAGTTACTCTATAACTTCCTAGACTTAATCTGTACAAGAAGTTAATGGCGTCTAGCTCGATGTCTTCCCGTGCCTCAGGCACTTGGACTGTCCAGGAGAACAAGGAGTTCGAGAAAGCTCTGGCCGTTTATGATACTGACACACCCGACCGTTGGGCCAAAGTTGCAAGGGCTGTCGGAGGGAAAACCCCAGAAGAGGTGAAGAGGCGTTATGAAATTCTTGTGGAAGATGTCACATACATTGAGAGTGGCCAAGTGCCCTTCCCCTACCGCAGAACCTCTCTGGCCGCCTGTAACAGGGGAGGTATACAGCATACACCACCCCAACCCACCCCTTCGAAACACCACAAACACTTCAAAATCCATCATACAATCGTCAGTCATCATGGATTTGTTTCTATTTTAAGGCATTTTCTTCGACGATCAGTTTGGCTAAGTACCACCAATCCTCTTACTTTTCCTAATGCATGTTGGATGACATAAACCTGCATCACTATCATGGTCGGTGTATGAGAACATGCATCTACATCTCACCGAGCATGGGCGAATCGTAGGACACATGTTTAACACACTCTCAACTTGTATATTTTTCCACTCATTAGAAAATATAAGGTGTATGAGGAGAAAATAGCTTACTAATCCTTACAAAACTTTCCTACCGTATGCTCTATTTCTCAAAATAAAAATCAATTTGTATGTGCATCTTTCGTACATAGTGTTAGATGATATTGAAGACTAAAATGAATAAGTTTTAGCTTTTATTTTTCTTCTCTAACTCTTCTTTATTATTGTTCCATGCAGGATGAAGAATCTAACGTTCCACTGATGTGTCATTACACTTGTAATGATCAACTTTACTACTGTTGTCGTATTATATTCTGGAAGCTCTTAGCTAGCAACATGAATAAAAATGCAATGTTTACCCAAAACTAGGTGAAAATATGTAGTAGAAATTTTCAAATCATAGCAAATCTTGTCTCTATTTTTAAGCATTTGTATGACGATCATAATGATCAATGGAGGAAGCCAGTAAGTTCCTTTCCTTCTGTAATAAATATTTTAATTAAATTAAGGTATTGTAAGAATTTTAATTTCTAAACATTTTCTTATATTTTCAAATTTGAGTCAAATCCGACAACTTCCACCTTTACTCAAATTTTCTTAATCACAACAAACATTCACACATATACTAGTAGAAGTCATTATTTCTAGATCAACTTTCATAGTTTATTGTCGAAGATAGGAGCTATATTCATACATTCATTGAACATGAATCTTCTAGATATTTGGCATCTTTCAATTTTGATCTTCAGTCTTCTTGTTACTAGCCAATAAATCTCTCGTCACTTCTTATTCTCTCGCATTAGTAGGAGGGTTTTCAAATGCATAATTAAGTCTATTTATAAAAACAACAATTTTACGCAGAAATATGTAAATTTGACTTCAATTATGGAAATGTATAATAAATTTTATCTTATATATATACACACACACACACTCAATTTCTTTCCATATCAATCCTTTGAAAATGCATTAGATTTCACATCTTTAGTACATCTGGAAACTGACAAATTCGCGTTAACTACGATTATGCAACAATAATGGAAAATGCAATTAATTTGTACTGAAGTGGTCTAAATTTAGAACTTAACATCAATAAAAAATTTCATCTATTTAATATTTTTAGAATAACAGACACGATAGTCAAAACAAAATCACGGGAAGAATAAAAACAAACCACTGTAATTAATCCAAAAACAACCACAGATGTAAGTAAAAGGTTACGATTTATGAAAGAGAGTTAATTCCTAAAGCTGAGTCCAGCAGCATCGTCCCTAGGAGGACTGGAGCTAGTCCCACCCATTTGTAATGTTGTAGCCCGGTTCTTTTCCAGTTCCTCCATTCGGGCCATGATGTCCTGCATATTTTGCTCAGCCAAACGTCCCATTTCAGTTATGTCATTTAGAGGGGCATTTTGCAGACTCGACAAACCAGCCATGCACTGGTGCATCTGAATCTCCATGTCTGTTAATCTGTTAATCCTTTGAAACTTTTCAGCTTGTTTATGAGACTTCTGAACCCTTTGAATCATATAGGATTCCTGATTGAACAGTCGCTGGGTCTGTTCCATTTCGGGAAGTTCCCGAAATCTGGAAATAATTTGCTGAGCATCAAGTGGAGATGGCCAAACTGTTGGCTGAGGTTCATGGGCACCATATATTATAATGCAACCCTGTATATCACACAGAGTGCAAAGTTCATTCATCTTGTTCATTAACCCCTTCTTTCTCTTTTTAAATGATGCTCTTCTCTCTGCATCGTTGGCTATATACTCGAGCTTTATTTTTCCTCTAGTCATGTTTAGGGATGATTTTTGGAGGGTGAAATGTTGTTGTGCACGTTATTTTTATTTCCAGAAGATGGTATTTATAGATAAAAGATTGGATTACTGATTGAATAGCAATTGTTTATTTTCCTTTTTTAAATTCTAGTATTTAATTTTCATACAACAGGAAATAAAATCATATGGACAAACATTTTCTTGGCTTTCTTGGGAAGAGGCAACTGTCTTATACAAGTGAGATTAAAAATTAGTCAATATGAAATTATGAATATTCCAATTTAGCAACGAAAAATAAGGGAAAATATTCATTAATATCGAGTGCATAGAGAATGCTAAAATAGAAAGTAAAAAAAAATTATAATTTTTGTAGGCATTACTGTGTATTCAAAATAATTTAAAATTAGGAAAACACTTGCACAAGAAAATTAGAAGAGTAACATTAAAGAAGGTGTCATTGGTATTAAGTTAATGCACCAACATCAATATTACATATACCCTTCAATCGTTTACAATTTAATGAAATATAAATAAATAAATAATAAATAATTTCATCACCTTCAAACATTTTTCGTTAACCGTGCATTAGATGTGCATTTGATTATGCTTTGAAATGAGCAATATTAATTTAATCAACTGGGTTAATCGTTGTAGAGGTGATCAATATCAAGCAACAAAAAATTAATGCAATTGTTTGTGCATCATTTATGTTGTGCTCGAGACTTTAATAGTAGATATGAGGTATAGTATAAACTCATGAGATATTATGTCAAAAATAAATAAAAAATGAAAGGTTATGAAATACCTTGGTATTATATCCGTGATCACCCGCTACATAAAGAGAGTTGTATAAAGACTTGAAAATTTAAGGATGCCTTATTGGTAACATATCCATGATCATCCACATCTTAGGCTCTTGTGATAATCTAAGGTTATTATTATTTTTTATTTTTTTGGTGACGGGGGAACCCCAGCCGCTACACCGCAACAGGCAAGCCCGATACCACAGACTTGATCGAGAAAGTATTGGTAAAGAAAATCGAACTCGTAACCAAAGGCATATGCGCTCACCTACTCCACCAACTCGGCCACCCCATGAGGGGTGATAATCTAAGGTTATTTAGAAGAACTATTGGTTACAAACCCTGAAATGCACATGATTTAATGAGAGTTTTTGGTGATTTGAAATTGGGATCGGTAAAATAATCACGTAAGCCCTTGATAAAGTGACATGTAAGAAAACACAATAAAGCATGCGATCAACAAATCATCCATTCCTATCTATGAATACTGATTGGATCGAAAAATTGAAACTATCATAGAAATGTCGATGATTCCGTAGAACAACGAAAGTTCGACAGCATATATGAAAATCTCATATTTTCATTCAAGATAGGAAATGGTAAAGCTGTATTGCACGTTTATATAGCAAGCCTACGAAGTAAAATTAAAAATTTCAAAAGACGTAATTGTCATTATATAACTAAAGTAATCGTAAATAAATAAAACTTAAGAAATTACCAAAAACTGATAAATATATGACAAAAATTTAAATAATTAAAATCGAAAAGAAAAAAAATGAAATCCCGCAAAAATCCTAATTGCCCATTCGTAATTAAAATTGTTGGATATAAAGTAAAAAAAAATAATAATAATAAGAAAACAACGGAGCTGTTATAACTTTTGGCGACCCTATTGAATTTTATTTTTTTAAGGTAGTCCCCCTCATTTTTAAGAATTTGATCCATATCTATTCTTATGTCGATGCTCATTCTCCATCTAGCTCTAGATTGAGAAAACGTGACTTTCAGCCATTCAACACCTACATTCCTCCTGCATTATACCTTTTTCTAAGTGATATATATTAAATTGTCGATCATATGCACAATTAATCACACATGTCAAACCACTACAATAAATTTTTATTTCCAGACGAGATATTCTGCAACATAAAATAGTTATCGCAATGAGTAATTTAGCACGACATGATTTTAAAGTTTATCGCAAATACTAGACAAAAAAGTACCAAAAAAATATAAGCCTGCATAAAAAATTGTGAATTATCAAAAAGTGCGACAAGAAATAAAGATTGTGGCAAAAAAACATGATAGAAAGCATGGAGCCGTGCGAAATTTATGGCAATAAACTGTCATTTCTTGAGACAAATTGTTTGTGATGCAATATGATCTACTGTTTCCAACAATTAATTTTTGTTGCTAAAAATCTAGGGACGAAGGAAAAAATTTGCGATGCCTATATTTGTCATTACTCTAGCTTGTAGGGATGGTGAAAAAGAAAATGTGACATCCACATTCGTTGCGTATTTGTCTTTTTATAAATAATATTTATCACAACCTATTCTACTATTTTTTATAAATAAATGAATTGGAAAAAAATTCTAACATTTAAAATTCGATCATTATGATTGCATTTAGTTTTCGAGTGAATGGCCTTTCTTGATTATTATATGATCCAAAATTCTTGCGCTGATTTGGTGTGAAGATTTATAGCATCATAGAAATATTGGGGATTTCATAGAATAATGGAAGCTCGTTCGCATCTATAAAAAGAAGGAAGAACACGGCCTGAGTAAATGGTAGGCAAGGTACTTAAACAGCTTTTGGAAAGCTACTCATAACTGTTACACGGCAATTTTTCTCAACATAATGCAGATTGGATTTCATCGTGAACTGAAATCACGGAGGAAAAGAAGATTCTTTTCTGTGTTGAAGAACAAAAAAGTGGTTGACGAAAAAGTTATGACACTGTTGTGGGGAAATAAATTAAAAACTAGTTTATGATTGCAGTGTAAAATAAATTATTTTATGTGATAAATATATTAAAAGCACATTTACGTAATTTTATTCATTGCTATTTAATTAAATAAAAAATGCGGAAAATTGTAGTCTAACTAACAAAATTAGTAGTGGTAATATTATTACCTTTTTATTTTTTCTCTTTTCAATTTTAGATATTTAATCTTTGTGCACAGATTTTTCATTTTTTTTTTTGGTAATTTCTTAATTATGTTTATTTATTTCAAAATAATTTAGTTATATAAGGACAATTAGGTCTTTTGAAAGTTTAGGTTCTACTTCGTAACACTTTCTATTTAAACTCTCATTGCAGCTCTATCATTTTTTATATGACTTTTGAATAAAAATACGAGGGTTTTAATAAATGCTACCGAACTTTCATTATTCTATGGAATCCAAAATATTTCTATGATGCTTTCAATTCTTTTTTTTATCAGAATCAATGCTCATAGGAGCTGATGATTTGTTGATCACATGTTTTATTATGTTTTCTTACATTTGCTTTACTAAGGGCCAATTCGATTGTTTTACCGATCTAGTTTACATATCACCAAAGCTCTCACCTTCGTGGTAGGCTACCAATAATTCTTCTTAGTGCCCTTTGATGACCATAAGAGCCTAATTATTTATACAATTATATTGTAATAATTTATAAAATATTGCTCAGCTTTTCAGAACATGTCCATCAAATGCACATCTAATGCACAGGTGAACGTAGATTGAAAACTAGGAATTGCGATTTTTCAAGCATGTAGGTGATGAAATTATTTATTACTTAATTATTTTAATTTCATTATATTACACTGTAAATGTTTGAAAGTATCGGTAATATCGATGTCGGAGCATTAAGTTAATACAAAGGACACCTTTTTTGTGTTACTCTTCTAATTTTCTTGTGTAAATATTTTTCTAATTTTAATTTGTTTTGGATACACTCTATTGCCTCCAAAATTATGCTTTTTTTTTTTTTCCTATTTTAGCCATCTCTATGCACTTAATAGTAATGGATTATTTTCCTTTATTTTCATAGCTAAATTGGAATATTGATAATCCCATATTGACTAATTTTTTTATTTCACTTGTACAAGACAGTTGCCACTTTCCAAATAAGCCAGGAAAATGTTTATCCATGTGATTTTATTTCTTATTGTGCGAAAATTGAATGCTGAAATTTAAAAAAGGAAAGTAAATCATTGATATTAAGTGCATCGAGATGGCTAAAAAAGAAATTAAAAAAGTATAATTTTGGAGGCAATATAGTGTATCCAAAATAATTAAAAATTAGAAAAATATTTACACAAGGAATTTAGATGAGTAACACAAAATAAGGTGTCCTTCTTATTAACTTAATGCTCCGACATCGATATTACATATACCTTCAAACATATACAGTGTAATGTAATGAAATGGAAATAAATAAATAATAAATAATTTCATCACCTACATGCTCAAAAAATATAAATTCCTAGTTTTCAATCTACGTTCACCTGTGCATTAGATGAGCACGTTTTTGAAAAATGAGCAATATTAATTTAACTGGCTAGATTAATCGTTGTAGACATGATCAATATCATGCAACAATAATTTAATGCAATGGTTCATGACAAATTGATTTTATACTCTTGTTCGGGGCTTTAAATAATGATATTTTATTTAGGCTTTATAGCCTAATTCGTATTTGATGAAACTCATTATTCAATGAAGAATTGAAAACAAGCAAAAAATAGAGAGAAGGGGCAAAATCAAAACTACAGGGCTTGAATGCAATAATTCAAAAGTTGTGTCAGACTACGAGGCAGTGATTCAAGAATGCCAATGTCAATTGGAGTTGAAGAGAAGTCAACAACATGAGAAATTGTGAAAAGGGATCAAAATACACATTTGAGAAAGTTCATGGTCCCAAAAATTTGTATCATGCGTACGCAATGTCACAAAAATTCAGTCTGAGGCTAAATCATGTGTATTGTGCATACGCACCAAATGTAAGCATGGTTGAATTTTGGGAAAAAAGAATTGTGTTTCCTTATTTACAATCCACCAGTGATTCAGCAACAAGAAAAGAGGCAATCTTTAGAG